GTGTGGGTGTGTGGGTGTGGGTGTGGGTGTGGGTGTGTGTGTGTGTGTGTGTGTGTGTGTGTGTGTGTGTGTGTGTGGTGGGTGGTGGGTGGGTGGGTGGGTGGGTGGGTGTGTTCGACGAAAAGATACCACCACCCGAACCGACCCGAACCAGTGGCATGGCGAGACGCCACAACGTAAAACCCCTTTCATTCAGTCATTCAGTCATTCATCCAATCATTCAACAGACGAAGATATGTAAACACGCGCCTGAACACAACACTGTGGATACAGAACCGTGCATGGCGCTGGGTGGCCACAGCAACACGAGTTAACCGTGTGCTGGCGTCCACAGACTCTGCAATCAAGCTGGCTTTTCTCCAGGACTTCCAGAGCAGAGGGCTGAGACTTCTCCGCTCTGAATACTTCCATGAATGCACCATGGTTCACTTACAACCGTTCGACGCAAGAACCTACGGTGATAATATAAAATGGCATAGGGGGTATACTGGGTTACAGGGATGTTCAGAAATGGTTCCCTGCTGCGTAAATGACTTCAGCTTTCAAAAGGGAACACGCCTCAGAGATGGCGCAACAACGGCACAGAGATGTATAACTATGCCAAGAGCACTTCTGGTGATGTGCACTGTTATGCTTTAATGCGATGCATCACGCTTCCGTACAACAAGAGTTGGGCAGCCATGTAGGCTTGAGTCACAAGCATGTCACAGTCGCGAACCTTTCAGTAGTATTACATAACTACCCAATTTCATTGTGTAGCGATGTTTATCTAGAAGCTAGGTTGCTGTCATGTAGGAGCGGTGAGCAAATGGCCGCGATCGATGTCACACTGGAGGACATTGTGGACGATGGAGATGCCCGGGACCAGCGGACACGCAGTCCCAACGACGCGGTGCGTCATTTCTTGCTTTACGTGTTCCCACCATGCAAATGCACCATGGTGCACTTGAAACCATCCGCCTTCACTAGGGGTTCATGTAATTCTCTACTGCGTCTATAGGCTGAAATGGCGGCTCTCACGAGGTGCCTCCACGAGGCGCTGGGTGGGGACGACGAACGGGTGGAAGCTGTGCGCCAGATTGAATTGTTGCGTCATGGGACTTGTTCCGAGGTGAGAAATCTGGACTATTGGTTGCAGAGAGTATATCGCGAGTTTGTGTCAAAAACGCGGGGCGGCCATGTCCCTGTGCACTGCCGAAAACAGTTGGAAACATTGCGAACGGTGTTTTGAGAGACCGTGTGTCCTTACATACACCCCCTCCCATGCAGAAGATTTACAGCTCTCCCCGTTTCGTGCCGCCACGGCACTGAGAGGGAGCGTACCGGGCCTTACCGCCTAAGACCATAGACAAGAGGGTGGAGGGAAGTGTTACATGTGCGAGCAATGTCGTGACTACAATTTTGGATTCCAGTAAGTCGCGTGACAAGCTGAGCCTCACTCGTGTGATACATGGTTTGTGCTGACCCAGTTGGTGTGTATTGATGTACAGGTCAGCAGAGATGGCACGTCTCTGAAGGGCAGAGCAGCTTGTTCGGGGGTCGGTTCACAGTTTCGACAGATTGCCAACTCGTTGCTGGATATTCAAGACAGCCACCTGTATAGTTGCTGTGGCGCGCTCTGTTGCTGAGACACGCGGGTCGCCAATCCACACGGAAGTGTCATGGTTTACATGGGCCCAGGCGTGCAACGTTTTGTGTCAGTGTTTGGTTGCATGGGAAGAATACCAGGGGCAACTTCATGGGCCATGCCCCGCCCAACGGAGAGCTCGATGGATTAAGGCACAGAATGCATATGGAGCACACATTCTTCTCGACAGACATCTGCATTTTCATTTGTTGTCATTGTAGCTCGTGGTACTGGGTTTAGCGGTGTATCGGAGATTTGCCATTGTTTCCACCCGAACCTATTCATGCATACGAGTGTCGTGGGATAAACTGGACGAACTGCCGATGAAGTGTGGTGGGAAAACAGTGGGGCCTCGGCGGCTGACTTGACTGGGTAATGCAGTCGTGGCCCTGAGTGCTTGCCTCCGGTAGTAGTAGTAGTGCCAGAGTACGGTAGCCAGGTGTGCAAGTTTTCCCACTCCATGTCGTGGGATCGAAACTAATACACACATGAGGCATTTGTAAGCGGTCCCCTTGCAAAGTTTTCTGTAAATTCCTTAAAAGTCATGTGCTTTTGGATGCCAGCCCGAGCCAATCCTGCCAACTTGACAGCCAATTCGACACCCTGAACACGCTAATTTGATACACTGCAGGGCCGATTTGACACCCCGAACAGGTCAATTCGATACCCTGTCAGGCTAATTCAATACCCTGCTAGGCCAATTCGGCACCCGGACAGGCCAATTCGACACCCGGACAGGCCAATTCAGGCCCAGCACAGCCCAATTCCGAGGCTCCACAGCGCAATTCGAATACCTCCGGTGAGCCCGCCAGAACAATTCAAGACCTCGACAGACCAATTCTTTTGTCAGGAATAAAATCCAGGCTAATTCTGCGACAGAGCTCTTCCCTAATTCCAGCCCGGATCCTACCCTCCTCCCCCCCCCCCTCGGTCACTTTAGACTTTTCGTCCACTTTACCGGTAACGTACCGTTACCATGTCCGAACCGACCACTTTTCCCAAAAAGTCTTAACGTAACGTAGCATGTGAACTGGCTATTAGCGTAATCTCAGCAGTAACAGGTCAGCAGTAACAGGTTGCACTGTGGTCAGACCAACACCCTATTATATAGACGACCCTATGATGCCGAATAGTACACCAAGCACCAACAAATATTATTATACATACACTTAGGTTAGGGCACCACTGGTAATGCTTGCCCCCAGGTGATCCCGGGATCGAGATCTGTTAGGGTCAAACATCCTTCTGATGGTGGACGGTAATGCTCCCCTACTTGATGGACGGTGGTGATCTGGGATTAAGGTAATCTGCGAGCCGACCAGGAATGGAGTTAGGCCGCTGTCGTCCCAGCAGGTTCCGTTGGATGCCGGTGGAGGGTGCGGAACCTGAGCGATCCACTGAGAAGTTGACTAGGGTGACTGGATGAGGGTGCCCCAAAAAACCGGGGAAGGCAGGGTTTCGCAGGGTAGCTGCCATGGGTGAAGATATACCCCCCTGTTAAAAGAAGAAGATATTTGTCTATCGTGTGGACACGCACCCGCTGCGCTTTATGCAATCGATTAATCAGCAAGTGTGGCTGCTGCTGCTGGTAGCACCCCGGGCTGATGACATTTCGCTTGCCGGCAGCACGGTGGTGCACTGCTGTCACCAGCTGCTTGAAGGTCTCTCCGTCGTGCTTAGCCCCATCCCCCTCCTCCTCCTCCTCACTCTCCCCCCCTCACTGTCATCATTCTCGCTGTACTCCCCATCCCCACTCCCATCATCATTAAAGATTTGATTCTATATCTCTGAATCGATGTGTTGCAATTCTCCCTTGGAAAATTGTAACCGTGCATTGTACAGCACAGCAATTGTTGGTGACACTCCCCAGAACATGTGTTCATTTACACTAATACGCCTTGGCAATTCCAATCACCAAATTGGATCACCAATTCATCATATCAGTACGGTACCCTGAAGGTGTTATCTCCCTGGGACCAAAGGGGTACTCCTCTATCACGGGTTTCACCCTTAAAGCACAACCAGGCTTAATGGCCTTTTGGTCTTAGACTGTATTGTGAAGGTACTAAGCTCAAGAACATAAGCTGTAGCGTGGTCCACATGCAAACTGAAACAGATGGCCTGCTTGGTGTTTTGGAATCTCGAGTATGCCTTCAGGGGGGACATGTCCACACATACCGTCGAATGAAATGCCTGGGGTTTAAGAAGGCATGTGAGCTTTTGTGCAAGGGCCAGGGATTTTGGTCCAGGGCCGTCGCAATCCAGAGGCATTGTATGTTATGTTTCACATGCAACGACTACAGCTTCGCATGCTTGGACATATAGGGTTGGAATCTACAGTCCCCGGCAAGCCCTGGGAGCACATTCCTGTGTCACCAAACGGCATTGCAGTGTTGCTGTGTGCTCTGCTCTAGGCATGCGTGTCGTCACGCAGTTTCAAGGGAATATGGTACAGGGCTGGGCGCGGGGCAAGTGCCAGAAGCAGGCCAGCTAAGGTCCTGGTGAAGAGTGGTGATGATGGCAACAGTGGAGGTGTGGTACCGGACCTACCCCTGCATTCCCAACTATAGTACTGGTCATTGATATAACCCGAGCTTCCTGACAGGCTTGGCTCAGAATGCTACGGCTTACAGGTGAAGGCGGCATGCCAGCAAAGTCTGGGAAGATGGAGAGGGCCGTTTGTTTTTCCAGTCTTGGATCTTGGGCTCTATGCCGATGCAGTGGGCGATCAGACGTGATGATGGCTGCGGTGGTTGTGCAGGCCCAAGAGGCAGCAGGAATGGTGGACATGGTGGCAGAAACGATAGCAGGACAGGCCTGGAGGCTAAGGTCAGGGGCTTGGCAGTGACCGTAGGCCTCAAGTTGGGCGTTGCTGTTGTTGTTGTTGTTGTTGTTGTTACATGGTCGTGGGTGCGTTCCCCGTACCTGCAAACCACCCTAGTACGAGCCGAGGGCTCAAGGGCTGCCAAATCGCCTATAAGCACCATCCTACCTCGCACTTCCAACGAGACAAGTGATGAAGGATACTAACGACCAAAGGGAACGATAGAGTTGCGGTGAGACCATATACATTCCAGCATCCTTGCCAGGCGTTCAGGTTCCCACTTCAAAGCGTCCTTCATATGTTCGAAGCGTGGAAAGCCCATATCAGATCTGATTTCGTCGTAAACCGGACAGTCCAGCAAAATGTGTTTCTCATCCTCGATGTGGCTATCAGTGCCGCAGCAAGGGCATACTCGCTCCTCCCTGGGTATATAACGCTGTCCCTTACGCGCTCTGTTAGCCGCCAGTGCCCAACAGCAAAGCCTAAACTGCATAAGCTTGCGATTCACCGAACGTGGGATAAACATTGTGATGTGCAGGAGCACCTCCTTCCTGCCCGCTTGCTCGGCCGCCAGCCCCATCCAATGCTTATACTTCGCCATGTGGATTCCTGGTTGCTTGCCGTCTGACGGATACACGTCAGGCTGGGCATCTAAACGCGTATGCTTCCAACCACTCATTAATCGGGCGTTGCAGTATGTAAATCAACGGCCATCATCACATGGCCGAGGGGGCTGAGCCCGAGCTGTCTAACAAGCCAGCACCCGGGGGTGGTCTCGTGCCAAAAGAGCATGTTAGGCTTGTGTGCAAGCTAAAAGCTTGCTGGCACTGCCTTGCAACAGACCACCTGGTGGATGAGTGCCCCTGGTGGCGGGGCCAGGGTGGTGTTAGGGGCGCAGTAGGTGCAAACAGGCGAACTTCAAGCTTTATGTTTAGATATTGGACTTTTTAGAAAAAATGGAATTAAACAAGATATTAACTTAATAAATTTAGAAGATAAAGCAAAATCAGCTCCAAAATTAGGCCCAAGCGCTGTAATTGAAATAGATAATTTATTACATTTAGCTTAAATGTAGTTTAAGTTAAGTTCCTTTTTGGGCGGGGCCCCAGCGCGAAGCGCCCAGGGGGGCCCCGACCTGTAGGATTGCCCATGTCCGTGTGTGTGTGTGTGTGTGTGTGTGTGTGTGTGTGTGTGTGTGTGTGTGTGTGTGTGTGTGTGTGTGTGTGTGTGTGTGTGTATAACGGACCAAACATAATATCTCGCCCGGCTGAAACGCGTTATAGGTACTATACAGCATTCTCTATTGCAAGGTATCTCGCATGTAGCCAACAAAAATCGTATGAGCACAAACAAGTTTGGCTGCCTCAATTGACCGAGGCCAAAGTCACATCAACGCCTCTCGCGCTAAATTTCATCCCGAAAGGTACCGCGTATCTCATATTTGAATTCTTAGATGACGGCGTATGATAACTCGAACTCCCAGGCCTTGAGTGTGTAACGGACCAAACATAATATTTCACCCGGCTGAAACGCGTTATCGGTACTATACAGCATTCTCTATTGCAAGGTATCTCGCATGTAGCTAACAAAGACCGTATGAGCACAAACAAGTTTAGCTGCCTCCATTCACCGACCTCAAAAGTCACATCAACGCCTCTCGCGCTAAATTTCATCCCGAAAGCTGCCGCGTATCTCATAATGGAATTCTGAGATGACGGCGTATGATAACTCGAACACCCAGCTTGTGTTACCATTTGCCGGCATGGGCAATCCGACTTGCCACCAGCAGGCCAACATAATTTGCTTTCATTTCTCTATGAAATACACAAGCTGCTTGTTTGTACATTTACTTTGGCCAATGCACGGGGCCTCCGAAGAGTTGCACTCTGCCGCTCTTACTTATCTGTTTAATTATTACAAAGCCATGCGGCAGTGGGGTGCTTTCCTGTAGCCGCTGGTGCTTCAAGACCTAAACATCACAGACAGCACCGGACTTCATATGTTAAGCAACGGCTCCGTTTGCGGTCTGCCGTACTGTCCATGCGGCATGCACCCGGATGTCGATGTGGCATGCACCCGGATGTCGATGTGGCATGCACCCGGATGTCGATGCGGCATGCACCCGGATGTCGATTTCCTGTAGCCGCTGGTGCTTCAAGACCAAAACATCACAGACAGCACCGGACTTCATATGTTAAGCAACGGCTCCGTTTGCGGTCTGCCGTACTGTCCATGCGGCATGCACCCGGATGTCGATGTGGCATGCACCCAGGATGGACGCAGGCGATGCTCACGAATCCGCCGGTGCCTGTGCGACGGAATAGTCCCGAAATCGCTCGAAATATATACATTTCTGACACAAACCACCATGTTGACATTACCCATCAATTGTCACACTTGCCACCCTTGCTACCGGCCTGTACGGATGCAGAGGGGCCCCGCCCTTTTTCCGGCTTCCTTGAAGCCGACACCCAATCTTGTTGTTAATGTAGTTTAGTCGTCATGGCGCAGCCTGTACAACATTAAATTACTATAAAGTTTAACTGGTAGCTTCGGCCTAAGTTAAGGTCCATCAAACCATCCAGCCGTAGGCCGGATACCCTTCGGGATCAGCGGAGCCATACCAAACCAGCCAAAAAATTGGGCCACGTTGATTGTAGTTTAATGTGCGTAGTGTAAAGGGGTACGTTGTGCCAATTTTGTTGATTACATGTACTCTGTTTTAAATGACGCGTGCGCTGGTTATAAGCCTAGTTGTTTTTTAGGGGCAAAAAGCAATGCCCGTGACAGAGTCCGTTGTTTCCATCCCCTTTAGTTCCCCTTTAGGGGATGAAATCATCCCCTAAA